AATAAATTAGAATATAGTAGTTATAGAATAATACATTCACATCGCCTGAATCATATATGAAATCATGCACAGAAGAATCATATTATCAGATGATATATACATACTAAAACATTAATGGATATCACTAAATAGATATCAAATAAACATTTCTCTCGCTATATCTGTCTGAATTATTTACGAGGTAACATGCAAAGTAGAGGATGTTAATTACCAAAACTTGATTTTTAATAAAGAGTTTTTGTGGGAATCTCATGTATTGCCATATGTATGTCTGTTATTTGATGATATGCTATGGTCCGAATACATCAGTAGTATGCTGTATACCTAGTAAGGAATGTCATTTTGTTTCAACTTCTAATCATGATTATTCCCAAGGAGTCAAGTCTGGTTTCTTCAGTACTCGTTTACAAAGCTCATGATGCCTTTTAATCAAGTCTGCAAAAAAATTATAATGTTATAAAATTATGAACAAATTTATAATGCATAAAGTAAACAATAACGAAGATGACATGATTTCTGAATTTGTTTTACATATGAGCCAATCACACACACAGCGCTGCCTCTTTATGTGATGTTAATACTTCTAGAATTCAACTATTATGAAATCTATATAAACAATTCAATTATGTTCAATTAACAAAATAGCATGTCATTTTGTCATTTGCAAAATGGACAAACTATATCATCAACGCAGATATTACTTTTTATGATGTTAATTTAATAATAATTACCATCGACAGTGTAACCAGTAAGACACGTTTCAGCCAAGGCAGTTGCATAAATGTCCGATGTTTGTTCTACCATTTCTTTTGGAGAACACAATGTTCTCATCATAATTGGATGTTTGGCAACTTCATCAAAATCAAGAAGGTTTTCGGCTATGTCTGCGGCAAATGTTTGAATGTAACCACACATTCCTAACATTCCATTGTGTTTTGGAGCAGTGACCTTTTTACCACTCCCAAGATGCAATAGCGCCTGCCATGAATCACCATTTTCATAGACAATGTTATAGACAGGTGGCAGACTTGGATCAATTCGACCATTCACCTCAACTAATTTAAAATCACCATCAATCATGAAAAACTCACAATGTAGAAATTGATTATTAAAACCATGATCAATCATCTTTGATGTAATTGCATCTGTCAATTTCCAGAGGCGTTTCGTGTCATCATTTGACAGTGGGGCCGGAGTGATTCCTCCAATATTACAATGGGTATGTTTATTCTGGTAGTAAGGCCATTCAGCTGTAGCCCAATGGATTATT